TTTTCTGGGCAGAGGTTTAGTTCAGAAACGGCCTCAGGAGCTTGGCAGCGCGCGGGCGTCGTTTGGCTCTCATGAGGATGGCGGTTTTCAAGTCACCTCCAGAGCGTGTGGTCACGTAAAAAGACATAAAAGCCACAAAACTCGTGCGCGTGTGCGAATTTCCTAGATGTTCATGATGTGTATGAATTCCATATGTGTATATTTTCCATTGTGAGTTTATATTAGATGCTCAATCATCTCATTTGTACTGAAGCAAGGACACTTGTAAACATTGGGAATATGATCTACTTGGTGAGGAAAGAGGTTTTTGCTGTGGATTTTTTGAGTCCCAGGAACTACCCTGAGTGCTTGTGTTAAATTGACTAACTAGCGTATGCTTCCCTTGGTGCCTCAGCTTTTCTTGGGTACATTAAGGTGTTGAAACTCACCATGCTCATTCCTGTTTAAATGCAATTTGACTTCTTAAAATTTTATCTCAAATGTCTGCTGCAGAGAACTATCCACAAGGATATGTAAGTGTTCACAGGGCATGTGACAAATCACCCTCAAGAAGACATGCAAAATGAGCAGATTGCTCCCCAAAATCACTGCTTCAAAGGGACTGCAAAGAGAATCAAATTACTTCAAAAGTAGCCATAAACTTACATAAAATGCTAAAGTTACATAAAGTGCTTTTATCCACTTGGTTATATCCATTTAGGTATGTTAAATACCTGGTTACATACATTTATGTACCTACTTTATATACAGATAGGCGTATTCCAGGTCAGAAAACAAACGTTTGCTTGAGCCAATAAATAACGAAGTGTTGGTTCTTTCTCCTGAAGTCGAAATGGAGCTCCTAAAGCTCCTGTGAGCCTTGGAAGGTACATTTGTGCTCTAGGCAGGAAAAAAAAAAACAAATAAAAAACCCACATTCTTTTGCTGTTTCCCAGAGCATTTTAATGTCTAAATAGGTGTGGTAATAAATTGGAAAGAAAGAAGAGGACAAAGAATATCATTAAGTCTTACGCTTCCTTTTTATATAGAAATCACTCAAATTGTTTCCACTTATATGAAGAAAACTGAAGGAAACATTATATTTAGAGTCGGTTTATTATTTTCTTGGAGCCAAGAGTTGTTTTTAAATTATGAAATTTACCTTAAACACTCTTAATTAAAATACTGCTTAGGAACAAAAGTCTGATCTGTATCTGTAAAGAAAATCTTGTGCTTTGCCTGTGGCTATGGTTGAATTCCTTATGTAGTGAGCAGGCTTCCTTTTTTACAAGGAGCGAACACCTTTTGGCTCTATTCAATGCAATGCAAAAAAAAAAAAAAAAAGTTAAAAAAAGCTTTTATACAGGCAGCATCATTTTCTGTCCTGAGAATAGTTGCAGAGCAGTTAAAAAGTGATTAAAAAGTTGATTAAAAATTTAAGTGATTAAACTTAGAGTTAACTTAAAGTTAGCTTAAAGTTAAGTGATTAAAAAGTTAAGTGATTAAAAAGCTAAAAGTTTTGATGGTGTGATGCTTACTTGGTTACACAGTAGCATCCATTTCACCTTAGCAACAAAGGTAGGTTCAACCACTCAAAAACTTTTAGGGGGGAACCTAAAATTGAAAATCCTTATAGTTCTCAGAACGTCTCATGTGGCTCTACTCTGCACCTAATTACTACATCGGTGATGCAGAAACATAGCTTTAGATCTTACAGAAATCCAGCAAAAATGTCATTGTTTTTAAGTCCAACCTGCTTTAGTGTATCACAATAAAGTAAATGGAAAAGTAATCTAAAGACTCAGTTTTTCATTAATTTTAAAACAATCTATTTTCTGATTTACAACTGCCTTTGTACGTGATAAATGGAATTAGCTTTTTGTTTTACAGAAGAGCATACAAGCAAATAATATTTTAAATTAAATTTAATTGAAATTGCATGTATTCTACCTACACAAAACACACTTCAAATCAGCAGTAGGCAACAGTCATCTCATAAAAGTGTTTATGGAGTCAAATAGGCAATTTTAATGCTTGATAGGAATTAGTAAGAAGATTTTGAAAGCTACTTTTGAAATTTAGAGAATAATGATATAGTTCAGATAAGGTTTAGATATGTTCTCATGTGCATTATAGTAGCCATTTAAACTTATTTTATTGGTGTAAAATATTTTATAGAATATTCAGTTTTCAATTGAAATTCAAAATGTTACGGAATACCTGTCCTATGCATGGTCACTGGATCTTGACTCCCCAAACTGAAATCCCATATATAATTTTTGATGAAATTTCTGCTTTTTTTTTTGTTGTTGCAAAGTCTTCCAGAGCTTTATATAAACCATTAACAATTGGACCTGCTGTTTAGTTTTCTGATGTGCCTTAGCTGGGAAATACTGCAAGATTCAAGTGCTCATGTAATAGCCTTTTTTTGTGCTGTTACACATGTGCTATTTTTCTCAACATAGAATTCCAAAATTGTTGGGAAATAGTCTGTTGGTGCATGTCCTTATTGGCAATAAGGACATATCTTCTGTGGATGTTCTTGCTGATTTTACATGATTACAAAATGTCAGAAGTCTTCTTTTACAGGGAAATTTTGAAGTAATTCCAGAGAAGTTTAAAGTCTCCTTTAACTGAAGAAGTTTAAACTGTGGCTTGATCATAATCTGTAACTAATTTTATGGGAAACCAGCATTTTTTGATACAGGGTCATCAAGGGTAACAGCAAAGGATAAGAAAAGTCAGTGACTTGAAAGTGAAGCTGCACAACTGCAATCTAGAAATGAGGTGCATGTTCTTAAGAGTAGTGATGATTAATCTTTGGAATAGGTTTCCAAGGATTATTATTATCCCATCACTGAAAATTTTAAAATGGTGATTGGATATATAAATATATTTTAGACACAGTTTCTTTCAAGCACCGATTAAATATCTGAAACAGGATTTGCTCCTGGAAATTCCTGTGTCTTTATTCTGGAGGTCAAATTAGATGATTAAACAGAGAAAATTAGTTTCTCTTGTGGTGAAGGAGTTCAATCTTTTTTTCCTACAGATACTCATATTCTTTTAATTTAGGATTCATTACCTACAATCTGAATCAGAAGATGAAACATTTCTTACAACAATATTTTCTTCTCTTTATGGATTTGTTCTGCTTTCCCCAAAGTGGTGGCTGGATACATTGAACTGCCATAACCAGGAATGTGTGTTGTAGCTTTTGAATCTAGCATTTCCACCCGTCCTATAGTCCTGAGGGTTTGCTAATACCAGGATGCCAAGGTGCAGAGCCCTAGAATAAATTTGGAATAAAATTCGAGGTGGAGGGAGGATTATCTAGATCAGGAGTATTATATGGGCAGCACGTGATTTTTTAGCAAAATTTGGGGCACTCTCAACTTCCTTAGAACAGTTGTGAAGTCTTTGAAACTTCAAGGGAATCTAGGGACTCATTGAGAGTCAGGGCAGGCAGCTGTCCTTCAGGTCTGGATATATTAAACCGTGAAACAATTAAAAAATCCTTTCTTCAGGAAGCTTATGCTTAGCAGAGGCTTAAAATACAGATGTAAATCCCTGAAATGCTACGAGAGTCAAAAGCCTGCAGAGCTTGCGAAGAACTGTCCCGTTCAACAAAATGTGCTCGGTTTGACGGGCAGAGCATCTGAAAATGTCACTTCTCAGGGAGAGGGAGAGGCAGAGCTGTTGCCTTTGTAGCAGGGAACAGTTTTACCCCCCATCTGTGATTGTAGCTAATAACATTTTTTAAATGTCAGTTTTCCCAAGGAGGTGGGAGAGATTAAAGAGCACCCATTTCTAATAATCCACCTGAGTGCTTGCTGCCAAAACATGGCCTGAATTTGAGTAGGTGCTTTGTTAAGGCTCTGCACCTGGCTTTGATATCTGGCTCTTTATTATAGGTTTGCTGTATGATCTTAAGAATTCATTTAGGGTGGAATTTTCAAAGCTGTCATCTAAATAACCTGGGTGCCTGCATTTCATTTTGAGGGAGGCTTAGTCATTTAAGGCTGGATTCCCAAGAGGCCTTGGACACCTAAAAAGTATTTTCCATATATATATTTATATTCGGAGATCTACTTCACGTCCTGTTGAAGGGACTTAGAATTTCCCTATTGACTTCAACAGGATAAAAGCTAAGTCCAGAAGTACCGTGATACCTCCCCATTTACATTTTCTGTTTCTTTGACCAATATATATATGTTTTTGATGCAATCTGTATCAATTCACTAAGCCTTTCTGTAAAATGGCACTTCATAATAACTTACAGTCATGCATTTATTATAATAATCATTTTATTCCTTCCTGCAGCTGAAATGTGGATGAAATATAATGGTATATGGATAAGTAAGTAAACATAAATGCCATGATGAAATTTTGAAAAAATACAACTCCCTGGCTGAGAGAAAATAATAAACAGATAAATTATGTAGATGCACATAATACACATTAATGTGGTGACCCAAAGCAAATTGAAAGTAAAGTCGTTGGAATTTATGAATACCAGTGTGAGAAGAAAGCAAGGCTTTGTGTGGATTAGATACTTAAAGGTTACAAAGCAGTAGTATTTTTGCTTTAATGTATATTTTCACTACCATTGAAAGAGGGGTTTGGGCTTCTGTTTGTGCACTCCTTTCTCCTTGCTGCTGGAGGGATTGATACCTACAGAACGAATGTGTTTTCGTCCACAGGGTGGGAGAGTTCAGACCAGCTGTTTCAGTAGCAGCAGGGACTTAGCACCGGATAAAGTGACCCAGTCTTAACTATGGAAAAAAGTGACCTTTCCTCCCGTACTGCTTGCTCATCTGGTTGATTAGTATTGCCAAACTCAGACATTCAAGGCACTCTCTTTATCCATTCCCCAAATCTCATGTTTTAATAATACAATTATTTACATTTTTAAAATATGAACTTCTCTTTTGCTTATCATCTTGTTTCTTAATCTTTAGTGTATTCTTAGGTGTTCAGGTTTTCCTTCGTATGGCTGAAGGCTGGAGAGTTACTTGAGAGAAAAAGAAGTGCTGATTTTCTTGTGTAATTACTTAAGTCCAGAAGCTTTAGGAAGGATTTGTATTAATACTCAAAAGGTCATAACTCAGCTGACAAGATTGTGATCTATATTACCCTCTTCCTTCTTGCATTTATTGCAAGCAATTATATTAAATTAAAAAAACAACCAGCCAGCCTATGCTGTTTGCTTCTGATACGGTGAAGTCCATGGGACAGAATCAAATGTGCAGTGGGAGAAGCGCCCAGAAGACTTTGCATTCATGAATTATTATAGTACTGCAAATAATGGATTTCTCTCTTTGCTGCTCATTTAAACAAATAAATTGGACCGAATCACACACTTGGGAGAGGCAGAGGCAGGAAAGAAGTGGAAAGAACACACAGTTTTAAGTCAAGAAGTTTCTTTTAATTTATGATGACTTTAAATCTTAATAAAATAACCAAAAATTCTTAAAATATTTAAATATATATGTATATATATCATGGTATTATGGGAAAAAATGCAGTAGACCTATTAAAACCTCAGTGTACTGCTGATTAAAAAAGCGATAAATATTTCTGTCAGCCAGAAGGTGGTAGCAGAATTCTCCTAAAAACCTTGGGTAGTTATGTTCCAGTAGGTAGTTTCAATGCAAAGTGATGAAATGCAGTTCAGAAAACATATTTATATATATTTTTTTTAGTAGCAGGGATGTACGGGATCTGTTACTTGTTTTCTGTCTCTTTTTTTTCAATGATCATTATTATTTTTACAGACTTTTTAATACCAAAGAGAGTAATTTATCGGCTGAAGTGGCAAGAGATTTGTTTTGTTCATAGTATTGCAAGACTGGGAGCTGTCAGTACCACGATAAGGACAGATATCCCAGTATTTCCAT